ACTTAATAAAAAACAGGTTACCCCATGATCAGCATTAAGATTGAAATTTAACGTGTTGAAATTTGACCGTTCGACAAACCACTTAAGCACCAACCCTACTCAGTGAAATATAGGCATTGATCTAAGGTGACTGTCGTCTTAACTCTTCTGTTTGAGAACCACTCTACTGCTTTTGGATGCCCTTGAAGCATGTCAAAAGAGATGTTTCTGCTTATTCTTCTTCTGACTTTGATATTTCAAAAAAAAAAAACCAAACCTGCAGCATTCAGAATCAGCCCAATACAGAAGTAATTTAAAAAAAATATTTATTTCCTTCTACTGCACAACAATTTGCTACGGGAAAAACAAAATCAGTAAAATGAACAGAAGGTCAACAAATACTCTTCAAGACTGTCTTCAGTCTGAGAGTATCAGGGACTACTCTATTGTCATATGTGGGTAGGAAAATGAGTTTAATGCGATTCTTAGACATGGTAATCATTCCTGATTCCCAGTGATACTGGGAGAGCATTCCAGTATCTACTACTGGTGAAAACTGCTGAAAGAACAGAGACTTTGGAAATCATTGCATTTCTGTCTTCTTGCCTAAAATACAGAATTAGCAGCACAGAGAAAGCTATTTCTTCCCTTTGCGTTCTCATTTAGCACATCTCACAGAGCAAGAATTACGAATATTCCCTTCCAGAAATCAGTGCTGGTAGGAATTCACCTCAGGCTATTTTGACAAGTTTTCTGGATTTTTTACCTCAGGCATTGAACATGTAAACACATCTAAATAATGTTGAAGAGCTATTAAGGAGGAGAGCATAAGGAACAAAATATTTTCTCAGAAATCTTACTTTGCATAGCTATGGGCTATGCACACAGACTGTGAGTTGTTGCTTATGTTTGCAGGTAAATTATTCATTTCAGACACTGAGCAAATCCAACCCTCCTGAGTCTGACCTCTCCAATAGACCAATCTAAGTTAATTATTTGCACAACTCCCTTGCTTGCACAGAATAACTCCTCACATAGCAAAGGTATTTCAGGAACGGTTTATAAAAAGGTAGTACATCAGTGATTGGTGTGGATTTTAAGACAACCCTGGCTACTGTAGTCTCTGAAAAGCTTTGACTTGCATAAGGCTGATTCACAGATGTGCATTAGAGGATAACTGTTCATAGAAGAAAGAAATGCCCAAAATTTAGCATTGCCTTGAGAGGCTGTTATACGTTGTGTCATTCTGGACCGCATATAAGGATCTGACCCTTAAATGTTTTTGGGCTCCTGGTCATGCTGACAGCAGTGAGAGTTCAGCATCTACATTCCACTGATAATTTGTGGCTTAATTGTTCTGATTTATATCTGTAACTTGGGGAAAACAGCATCTCTTCGCAGCACAAGGCTGACACAAAGTGTGTAAACACAGTAACAGGAACTCTGAGCAATTTAAGACACAAGTCACCTACTGATTATAAAACACAGTTCTAAGTTAGCTGGTATGAAAGTAATATAAGCACTACTAGTCTAGCAAAATGCATATATAAAACATTTCCATCACTCTACACCTACTTTCCCTTTCAGTACTTAAAGGGGGCTTATAAGAAAGATGGGGACAGACTTTTTAGCAGGGCCTGTTGTGATAGGACAAGGGGTAATGGTTTTAAATGAAAAGAGGGCAGATTTAGACTAGATGTAAGGAAGAAATTTTTCACACTGAGAGTGGTGAAGCACTGGCACAGGTTGCCCAGAGAGGTGGTAGATGCCTCATCCCTGGCAACATTCAAGCTCAGGTTGGACGGGGCTCTGAGCAACCTGATCTAGTGGAAGATGTCCCTGTGCTCTGCAGGGAGTTGGACTAGATGGCTTTTAAAGGTCCCTTCCAACCCAAACTATTCTATGATTCTACATGTTCTTTTTAACACTATTTCACTGTTTAAACCTGCCTTCAATTCCCTGACCTATTTTCATTATTTGTTATATTATTTATTATATTAAAAAAGCAGGTGATTTAATACTGCATCTGAGCTCAGAACAAGCCCAGCTTTTTCCTGGACGATGGCTGATTTCCACTGACAGCACTGCTGTTTTACTAAGATTGCAGACAGTACCTATACAGACTGATAATAAAGCAAAGGATGCTACTCATTTATCTCAACTCTCTGGATGTGCAGGTGGAAAACTCAAGCTCTCCCTCCTTCATATACATTTCTTTGGAAAGCCACAATACAAATACAGCGGTAATAGCATACACCTGAGGCTGAGCATAACTCAGAGGACTGAGTTCCAGTCCTCTGGCACAACCATGCCAGTTGTATCCTTCCCGTCTCTGTTGTCTGTCAGTATCTGCTTGTCTTTTGCCTGACATTTGCAGGGTAGTCAGGCTGACTTTCTTGTTCTGTAGCCTGTATCTATATACCTGCAAGTGCAAGGGGGTTAAAATAACAGCTTAAAATAACATACAGCAGTTAAAATAACATTACTGGTCTTACCTCATGTGAGTCGAGCAAGTCATCCTCAGCATTTTCTGAAGTGGTCTGCTGTGCTGCTGCTTAGTGGCTGTACTACTCTTTCCAACAGCAGCACAACGTTTTCTGTTAGACCAAGGAGTGACAAAGGTACTTGACACATAGGAAGTGGTTAAAAACCCGTATTGCCTTTCATGAGATAAAACAACAACAAAGTTCATGTACCAATGGGCTGTACAAACAAAGCATATACAAGATAAACATGAGTCTATTATGTTCAGAAAAAAACCCACAGGCATCTTTTAGAGATAAAGTACTATGGCAATATAGCTATTAAGGAATTTATATGGTTGATATAAGACTATATTATGGCTAGACTCCAAGTAACAGAAAGTGATAGGCTGGTGTTGTATAAGCATACATGGGGAAGCTATTCTACAGCCATGAAACTGCAATGAAGATAAAAGACTGTGTGATAAAAACACCTAACAAAAAATAGCTACAGTGTAGTTAATGTATTTGCATAGGGCTTACAAACATCAGTGAATGCAAAAAATCTCAAGAGCCTATTAAAACCTTAAAACCCCCTAGCCCAATATACTAATTCCTATTTAATAATTTTGAACCAATCCCCCATAACACCCACAAGGCCACCTCATTGCTGTTTACATTTCTTAGAATTTTCCTTTATGCCATCATCTCCCCAAAAGTAGAAGTTGGTACAGTGAGGCTGCTGATGTGCTAAGAAAAGTGCTCATCATGCAAACCAATGCTCTGTCCATATTCCTTCAGTTCCCTGCTTTGTTTGCATCCACTCTTTTTTGTAACAGGCCACACTTGTAGTAGAGATTGTCATTACCTCTCTCCTTGCTTAATGTCTAGGCACAAAAGACTGTTGTTAAGTCTCATGATCACTAACAAAAAACCCTCCCTGGACTCAGAGGCAATTGAATGAATGGTTGACAGACACTAGGTGACAGCAGTTTCCCAGCTCAAGCACCAATTACCATGTTCCTTTCAAGATGTCCCAACCTACTTTGGGTCTCAGTTTGCTGACCACAGAACAAGGTATAACCTTGTATGCTTTAATGGGCAAGGAATGCACACTGATGCAATCAGGGACAAAACCCAGTTTTATTGTAGCTGAGTGATCTTAAAAAAAAAAAAGAGATTCACTATCAGAAGGCAAAAGGGCCCACTCCCTGCCATCCAAGACAACTGATGCCTTTTCACATGCATCAGTCTCAAGAACCCTGCAAGATAGTGTCCCATGACATCAGTTTAAATTATTCCAAATAGTGTAAGGAAAACCTTACACTAAACAAAACCAGGAATTGTGCAAGGTAGCCAGCTGTCTTGCAAAGAGCAGCAGCTTATCCTATTTACCTCATGACAGCTGTCATTTTCTTCACAGAAACTTAAGCTGATCTATCCAGGTGTGGAAAGCCTGTAAGATCTCCACACAGAAAGAAAATTAGTCTCTGCTTTCTTATCAGTGAAGAAGTCTGGCATTTATCATGCAACTGAGAATAAAACATCTCCTAAGGTCTCACTGGGATATGCTTCGTAAATAATGCTGTCACCAGCATCTCATGCATGATATTTCACTAACTACATGATAATTAGTAAATCACAGGATAGCAGTTAACTTGCAATATGACAAGACTTGCATGATCTTTTAAAAGGAGCTACAATAATTAAGCTACTTGCTTGTGAAAATGTTTTATCCACTACTCAAAACATTAAGGTCTTTAAATTGCTCCAACTTAGTCTCAGACCATTTGTTATGAAACAAGCCTTGCAGGCCCCTGAATTATGATACTAGGTTTGATACTGTTTGTCCCCTGGACATTTAGATTGAACCTTTCTAGGCATGCCAAGCACATACTGGCTATTTTATGGTTAATATCTATTCCATAATTGTAAGTGGTTAAGAAATAAAACTTCAGGATTTTTTTAAATCTGTTTCCTCTCCCCAAGTAGATAAGCACTTATGAAATAATCATGCTGAAATTTAGAGATTAAAGGCCCAGTTTGACTTTTTCTATAAAAAAAGACTACCATAGGACTCTGGTCTAACTCAAAACCACCACCCTGGATTTTGGTAATCAAATAGAAAATAATCTTGTTTGTTCTAAACATTATGAAAACTATGCAAAGAACTGAATCCAGAAGAGAAGGATCTACAGAAATCTTTCTAGGCCAGTAGCATACAGAATCTTAATGTTGGTGTATTTTTGGCAGGTGGCCCACAGGCAGATCCCTATTCAATTTCTTCTACCCATCAGGAAAAAACAGGAAGTACTGTATCAGAAACAAGTCTGAGAATGAACTACACTTAGTCAGCATCTGGACTGAAACTAAATCATACAAAAAAGGCTTCCAGTAAAGTTGTATTAGTGAAATCCCACCGCAGGTGACTACTACATTGTCTATAACTTTCAGGACACATGTGTCTACACTTCCATGTAGTCTGTGGCAAACAAAGGAGAATCCTAGAGTAAGTAGATAATTGAAATAGTGAAAATAAGTCACTAGGACAACAAAACATGCCTGAAAGTGACTTTATTTGTTCATAAGGTCTGCGTTACAGCAAGCGTAAGTTTAGCTACTGTGGACAAAGCTCAGTCTGGAAGAGCATTAAATGTTAACCAGAGATGTATAGTGAGTAGAGCTGAATTTTGCACACAACATGCTCTTTTCGTATTGCTGGAACTTAACATTCATGAGTTAGAGATCTTTGAGATCTTTCTGGATGTTCCACAATGTATCTGCGCTCTTCTTCAGCTGAAGCACCTCATCATCCTTCAGCTTTTGGTTGATGACACTTGTCATTCCAGAGGCACTTAGGACAGCAGGAAGGCTCAAGAAGACATTATTCTCAATTCCATACATACCCTGCCACAAACAAAAGAGATCAGACATGAACCCATCACCCCATATCTGCTTTAAGCTTATATAGCAGGAAGCCTTATGAAAGCAGAGCTCAAGGTTATAATTTTGCAACCTGCAAAAAATTCAGTCACAATGTATTTGAGAAAATAAAAGTTAGAACTGTTTTAGACCAAGTGATTGGCAACACTGAGATAACAGATTTCAGAAACCCACCTCCAAACCCCTCATTTGAATTGTCAGCTACTTGCTGTATACAAAGACATAGGATTAGGGCAAGTCTTTTTTCCTGCTATAGAGCAAGCAGTAAGTTCAGTCTGCTCAGAGTCCTTGCTGCACCAGAGGTTATACAGCTGGTACAGACTAGATGCAGCCAGTTACATCAGCTATGAAAGGACACAGCTCTCTTCCCTAGCACCTTTGCTAGACAATGGTTCATGGAATCACGGCTGGGCCTCCATGAAGTTTACCATTTTCACACTGAAACTTCCTTTTAATGAATCTATGTCACACACAGTAAACTTTACACAAGGGTAGTACAACATTGGGTAGAGCACAGAGACTTGATTTGAGCTCCATAATTCTGAGGAGGGTAGGCTAAGAGGTCAGACTAGAAAAAATTGCAATGGTAAGATCCCATTTTAAATTTAAATTAGTATTTTACAAAGCTTCCTTTGTTTGGCACCTTGCTAATTAAGACTATTTAGCTTTTCCATTAGAACAAAATGAACCAGAGCACCCAATTAGCCACCACTTCTTACCTTTACCAGTGTTGAGACTGAATGAACTCGGTACAAGTTCTTCAGCATGGTCTCACAGAGTTCAGCAACACTAAGGCCAATAGCCCAGTTCGTGTATCCCTTAAGTCTAATTACCTCATAGGCACTAAGGAAACATAGAAATACAGTTGCATTAAAATGTCTTCAAAACACTGTGTGAATGCCAAGTCTTGAGAGTGAATGTTTCCCATTTAAAAATCTGAAACTCCTGTGACATATTGTAAGCTATGAAATTAAAACATCAGAGTTGCATATTGCAGCATTAGAGGATAAAGTATAAAGTCCACCTTATCCCATATGTATAATAAAGAAGTCCTGTTGTTCTCACAGGAACAGCTGAAAACAAAAATAGCTTCCATCTATGAAGAGTTTTTAGGGGCTGTTTTTCTACTTAACACCTACAACTGAACAAGTTCTCTACTCAAGTCACAGCACAATCATTTGTAATAGGTCAACATTTAGAGTCAAAGCCATGCACTACCTACACACACATCCTAATTTAACAAATATCTGCATACACTTTATATCAGTTATTTCACGACACAATGATTTAGCAACATGTATCCTTATACCTCTAGACAAATTTCCCTTAATAAATAAATTTTCCCAAATCAACTCCAATGCTCTGCTCACAGAAACACATACCTTTTCTTAGAGTCCTGTGCCCTTTGAACAAAGTTAACCATTTAAGAAGCTATTTGCGAGAAAACTAGTACTGCAGCGCTTAGAGCTCTGTGTGCTTAAGTGGATATGTTATGCAACGGCTTGTATCACTGCAGGGTAATAGAGCTTACCAACTGAAATCCTGCATTTCTGTGTTTAAACCCGTAGTTCCACTTACTTGTGCAACACTCTAAATAAAAGGGCATGAAAGCTGCAGCAGAATGAAGAGGCAGTGACAAGGAGGCAGTGTGCAGACTACCTATTTTAGCATCACATATCCACCTTATTCCTCAAATTGTACCTTTCAACCACTTGCTTGTGGACCTCCTTCCAGTTCTCACCATCTTTGTCAGTCCCCATGGCAGGGTTCAGCTCCTGGAGAGAGACGCCTGCCACATTAACTCCGCTCCAAACAGCCACTGTAAGAGTGAGGACAGAAGTTTCAATAGAGCTGACTCCCCCTCCACTTTCCCTAAGGTAACTGGAAACAAAGTAGTAGTAGCCAGAACCACAATAATGTTTGAGGCAGATTTTAATTTTCCATTAAGCTACAGTTAATTCTGAGAACTCTGGGGGTCAAATATGAGACTACTTTAGTACTGACACTTTAACAAGTCCATCGCAACACATGAACAGAACTTTCAGTCCTTGGAAGGTTTGGGAAAAGCTACTTTTGAAGTCACAAACCTCAAATTCTAGCAAAAAGGAACATCTGAGCTGTTCCGCCTTTTAAAACTAAGTTTACTCAAAAATTGCAGAAAGTACATGTTTGCTGTCCTACTAATCAGTATTAGAGTTACCTTTCAAGAATTTTACTCTTATTTCCCTGAATGACAAGACAGCAATATGCAAACTTAAAGTATCGAGAGGAATTTGCACATTTCCATTCTTATTGGAATCTTACAGGCACACTCATTCTCTATTCCTGTGAGGTAACTGGGAATTTAGTTACTTCAAAGCAAAAGCAGCTGTAACACTGAAGCAAGATGAGCTCTCTGTATGCTCAGCCAAGCTCTGCTTTCATTACAGTGTAGGGCTGGCTTCAGTAAATACTGTTGTTGATCAGACACTGTACTTTGATCAAGTGCAATTGCGACATTGAAGAAGTGGCTCCCTTAGAAATACACAGCACTAGAATATAAAGCAGTACCAATCTACATAGATGTTCTGCATCATTTTAGACTTGAAATACGTGAACTACAACAAATAAGCTTCTTTGATTCCCTGTGGTTTTAAGACCATCTTCTCTTAAATAGCAATGAGAAAAAGTCACAGAATGAGGTTAAACATAGTTTTGGTAGCCTGAATCTGGATTGCTAGCTTTTTCTACTACTTGTAACAAACTCTGCCTTTGACCTAACAAGGGCTAATATCGCTTTCAGAGGAGCACGGTGCTACAGGCTATGTTATGATACTCCAAAAACTGAGGATAAAGAGAAGACACAACTTTAGCTAACAAAATTGGCCTTTAAAGTTCAGGGTTTAATCATGCAGCCACAATCACTTAATAAAAAAATGTAGCTAGGTTTCCTGGACTTGTCTCAACTCTTTTGTTCATTAAAAATACAGCAAAGTGCTAGCTACTTGAGCTGAGCTGCATCTGTTCTTTCAGAATTTTGTAACACCCCTTAGGCTTCAACCTCTAACATTGTATTGCTTATTCCCAAGAAGGTCACAACTGCTCCTTACCACTAGAATCACCATGTTCTCCCAAGATCCAGCCATGGCAGCTGGTTGGGTGGATTCCGAGTCTCTCAGCCATCAGATAGCGAAATCTAGCTGTGTCTAGATTGCAGCCACTTCCAATCACACGGTGTTTTGGCAGGCCACTCAGCTTCCATGTGACATAGGTTAATATATCCACTGAAAAGACAGACATGCACAGTAAATGGAACCATTTACATACACCAAGAATGCTCCAACAATTACTTTTCTCCAAGTAATAGGGCAATCAGGATAACTCAAAACACAGTTATGCTCATTGGTCAAAGTATTTTAGGTCTGACTGTCTGGGGGGGGTTAAAATGAATGTTCTGCTTGAAATTTAGGACCCATCAAGCTACTGTTCAAAGAAAATTGAGGAAGGTCTCTGGAGATTACAGAATCACAGAAACACTAGGTTGG